GCTATAGAATCATAAAAGAAGAACTATTTGTTTGTTTGTTTTGATCGGGAAGAACTCAGCAGCTGGAATGTAACAGTAATTTCTAATGAAAATATCATTATATAAAGAATTAATTACCTTCAATGGTGGTTGTTAGATGCATTATTATCATTCACTCCTCCATGTCCGGGTGAGTATGCTCTTCAGCCGACTCATGGAGAGTCTCTGCAAGGCCTTTTTGGCCCCAACAACCTCCATCTCTGTCAGAGTTTGCAAATGTCCATTAACTCCAGCTGCCACAAGCAGCTTGCGGCAGCCCTTGCTCCCTCCAGCCATGATTGCCACCACCACTGCCACCGGGAACTTCTTTGAAACCAAATCGTTCTTTGGATCCAGCATCTGGGAAAGCTTCATTACACTCTTCTCATCCCTCACCAAGTCCTTACGATTGGACTTCACAGTCAACAAGGAAACCAAGGCATTTGCTGCCACCTCCTGCAGCCCATCAGGCTTTGCAGACTCCATTAACTTCACCAAAGCACCCATACACGGGGCAATTGCCCTCTTATCACTCTCACTTATGGATAAATTCGCGAGCAATGAAGCAGAAATGTACTGTATCATCGTGTTTCCATGCTTTATAATCTCTGCTAACTGGATAATAAAAGTGGTGGATGATGAAAGATGTTTTGAAGTTAACTCACAGGTAGAAAGCGAATGAATTGCCCTCAAAACATGCTCTAATGTATCAGAGCTGCCAGATTCATGTAGCAACTGAAGCAACCTCTGCAACCCCTTTTCCTTAAGTAACAAATCACGGTAATATTTGCCGGAAGAAGCTAGTATTGCTATGCAGTTTGCCGCCTTTTCTTGGGCTGAGGCCTTGCCTGATACCAGTAATTGCACTAGAACAGGAATAGCCCCTTCATCTGCTAATGCAATCCGAACATCTTCGTTGACTGATACGTTTCGAATTGCCCCGACACCATGAATTTGAGCTGAAGCGGACCCGGATTTACAGAGTTCAACTAGGACAGGGACACCTCCATAGGCAGAGATTGCCCAGGCATTTTCGGGATCAGTCGTGATGCATTCCACAGCCATGGCGGCTCTTTCCTTGACGGTGACCGAACCGGACTCGATTACCCTCAGTAGCGGCCCCAGCCCGCCCTCTTCAAACACGCACTTCCTCGCCTGATCGCTAGTCGAAACAAGCATCGACACGGCCAGAACAGCCAGCTCGCGAGTTGCGGGATCCGCGTTAAGGTCCAGAAGATTGATTAAGTAGCCGACATGCCCTTCTTTACCCACGAGCCCCGCCGATTTCTCGTCCTCAGCGAGAAGCTGAACGAGCGACTCCAAGGCCTTCTTCTTAAACTCGACGCCGCCGATCTGGAGGCGCGTGAAGAGGTCTCTGATGAAGAGGATTAAATCCTCTTTGGTGGAGGTGGAGGTAGGGTGTGAAAGGACAATAGCCGTGGACTGCCGGAGGACGCCGGAGCGGCAGAGGAGGTCAAGGTGGTTAATCTGCTTGGAGAGCCAGCCGGAGGCCATGTCGAGGTCGGACTGCATCAGAAGCTTGCCGGGAGTAAAAGAAGGATCTCCGCACTGGCGGCAGAGCGTATCCACCCGGAGGAGAGTCGAAAGCAGGTCAGGAAGAAGCGTAGGGAGGAGCGCATTGTCAGACCAGTGCGGCGACTCGGAGATTTCACTGAGAAGTGACTTTATACTACCGAGCTTCGACCGGAGAACCTGCCAGCGCGAGGTGAACGACTTAATCGACAGAGAAGACGGCAGCAGTTGCGAAAGAAGGACGTTGATTCGGTCAAGGGTTTCCGCCGGAGACGGCGACTGCTCGGTGCCGGAGTGCTGCATTTGCTCTTCTTTTCTTACCGAACAATCACAGACTATTCCTCAAGCTCTTCAACAATCAATCTCCATAAAAGAAAGACGAAGCTCTTGGCTATGGAGATCGGTTAAGCAAGAAGAGATTGCGTAGAGTGAAAGGTAAAGAGGGAAAATGGCCCGGCAACGACGGCTTGGGAACTTGGAACCGATACAAAAAGCGGTGAAAACTGGGAAATGATATCAAGAGATCGTTAGATAGCGGTGAGCATTAACCGGTAAAGCCAACCGAATTTTATTCAACTTTAAAAACAGATGGATGTACTCTCACAATTTTATATTAGAAAAAAAAATAAATAAATTATTTATATTTGTAAATTTTAAATATAAATTTGGCCCGACTTGATATAATAATACTTTTTCGACTTGATATAATAATACTTTTTTAAAACTCATTTTTTTATAGGTCGTTATCATATAAAATTTGTATTTCTAAAAAGCAAGAAGTACCCTTCTTAAAATTAAGGGAAAACGATCAAATAGGCCCTCAAATTTACCTAGAAAGTCAATTAGACCCTCAAACTTTTTAAAGTAGCAATTAGGTATATAAACATATTAATTTAATTCATCAAGCCCCAATTACCTGTTAGTAACCTGTAATACCAGGTTACTGAAATTCCGACGATTGTCCGGCAATAAAAATGAACGGAAAACGACCGCCGAAATAAAAATCAACGGAAAACAAGGCGTCTCTCGACGGAGACGGAAAAGCGACCATTTTGGCTGTCAGTTCGTGGATCTTGAATCTTACTTTTTTTTTTTTTTTTTTTTTTTTTAGTTTCATGCTGGTGATTATAATTGCTTGGTAGATCTCCCTTGTCATTTGGTGTTGTTTGCTCGGATTCTGTGTTTTGAGCAATGGAGCTCTCCTCGGCGGCCGCGGCAGCCGTCTGAGTCTCCAGTTTCTCTTGCTCGTATTCCTATGCAACTGCGTCGTCTCCGCCGTCCCTTTCACGCTCCTGCTTGGCTTCTCCACTGCCATGTCTTCTATTTTTGGTTTCTTAATACTACTAATCCTACTACTAGTACTCTCCAAATCGCCGCTCTCTTGCTCTGCCAACGATGCCGCTTCTTTGTTCCTACGGTCGTCGTTTTGTGTCTCAAGATCCTTCACGTTGGACGGTGATTCGTCTTTTTCCTCTCCGGAGGCTTCTCTTCCTCGTTATAGCAGTCCATTGGCTTGATGGCATTGTCCAGGAGGTCGCCCGAGTGGTCATCTAACGACGCCCCCCTTAGGATTTGTGGCGGTTGAACTGGGAGATGGCTATTTTCTGTCCATTTTTATTTCAACGGTTATTTTCCGTTCATTTTTATTGCCGGACAATCGCCGGAATTTCAGTGACTTGGTATTGCAGGTCATTAACAGGTAATTTGGGGCTTGATGAACTAAATTAATATGTTTGTGTACCTAATTGCAACTTTAAAAAGTTTGAGGGCCTAATTGACTTTCTAGATAAAGTTCAAGGGTCTATTTGACCCTTTTCCCTAAAATTAATATCATCAGTCAAGTTGATCAGGTTGTTAACTTAATAACTACAATATTATAAGTTTCCTTGAATAGTGACTGCGAATTTCTATTGTCACTCAAGTTAAAAACATTTGGAAAGATGATATTTGTGTTCAGTGATATATGGCCTGATAACTTATTTAGATTTTAAATTATTTGCATAGGATTTTTCGTCCTTAAATTGTTACTATGATAAATATTTTCACTCAATATTTGATAGAATTCTTAAAACGTCATAAAAATTTTATAAAACTTAAAATAAGAGAGATACTTATAACTTTACTGTTGTTCACCGCCATGGACCACCGTTAACCTTTGTTGACTGCCGCTAAATCGCCACAATTCAAACAACAACAAAAATGATTGGTGGTCGCCTTCGCTAGAGAAGCGACCGAATGGTAGCCTTCTTCTTCAATAGCGAACGTCGTTCACCGGAATTGTTGATGGAATCTTAATGATTGATTATTCCAGGTGAATAACTAACTATTGAGTTTATTAAATACATCTAAATGATAAGTTCAAACATTTAATTGCATATTTTTAAAGTTCATGAGCTTAATTACACTTTCGGGTAAAATTCAATTACATATTTGACCATTTTGCCTCTAATTTTTGCCATCAAACCTAAATACATGACACGAACTTTTTATTTAATACTCCGTACTACTTATCTATCGTATTTCTTTATTTACATGTTATATAGTTATGTAACACCAAGCAATGTAGTACTGTAAAGTTTTATTATTTCATAAATTTATATTATTAAAATTAAAAATAAAGATATACAATGGTTTATATAAATATTTATGATATCCATTAATATTTATGGTGGGAGGTTGGGCTTGTGAACCGTGAACGGTGACTGGATGCAAGTCATGCAGCCCACCTCTCAATAAAGGCATATAAGTGCATAGCCCATACAGAGTCAAAAAAATATTTTAACCTAACCTTTATAAAATAAAATAAAATCAAGTAATATTGTTATTGTTAAAATTGTACACAAGATTTAATACACTTTGCATTTTAACCTCAAATCCTCAAGTAATATTATATTTACCTTATTTCTCACTTTTTTTATTTGTATTTTTTGCTACGATGTGTACTAATTGATCGAATTATAAATTTAACATTAACTCATTTGATTCACGAGAAACAATACAATATATAATAAATGAAATTTCAATTTCATGAAAAATAATATAATAAAATTCCATACTCTATTAGTTGGTATGTGTGATAACAATAAGTTGGTTGGGGTTATATTAGATAACCAGGGTTATATTAGGTTAGTTATATAACATGCCTTTGTTTGGTTGAGGTTATACCACATTCCCTTGGAATCTAACATCACCTCCACGTCAGATTTTTTTCTTTTTATGAGGGAATGTGATTCCCTTGTAAATCTTAGGTTATCTTGGATTCCCTTGGCCATTTTACATTGTTTGCCCTCAACATCATCGCACCCTCCACGCTCCACTCTGTCTCAGCGACTTTGTCTTCATCTTTCTTCTACGGGATTTCAGTCTACGAACCAGAGTAATCACCTTTCATTTTCATTTCTAGATCCATCAACAAATCAATTTTCAGTTTTTAATTCTAGATTCCCTTGCAAAAAGCCAGAAACGCAGACAACTCGCACTCTTCATATTCTCCAAGTCTCAATTTAGGGTTCCGATTTTCTCAATCTCACAGGTAATACTCACATCTCTTTCATCTTTTGTTTCTTATTTCTTCATAAATTTGCCTGAGGGAGAGGCTTTCTTCAATTTTCAATTTCTTCATTTGATTTCTATTGGAATCTTGTATTTATATTTGTGTTTAGTTATCATCTTTTTCATTCGTCTTCTTGCACTGTTCGTGTTTTTTTTTTTTTTTTTTTTTGGGTTTATCTTTCATTGGTTGAGTCGGCCTATCTAATTGTGATTGAGTCCAGGACGACCATTTTTATCTGGCTTGGTTGAGTCTAGCATGTCCAAACAATTGTTTTGCAGGTTTCTCTATAGTTGTAGGTAAATTTTCTCCGACGAGGTTTTTTGTTTGTTCTACGGCAGAATAAGAAGTAGCACATGGGAGAAAGAAGAAGGACACATTTTTAGGAATCTAAAATGAAAATTCAATTACTGCCCTACATCACTTAATAAGTATAGAAAAATAAGTATAGAAAATAGGAGGAGAAAAGCTATAGAAGAACTAGTATGCATAGTTATGTAGGGATACAATTGTATCAAAATGTGATGGTCAAAATCAATATTCAAGATACAATGCTATATAATTCTATATAGTAATACACTCTTGCTTGTTGCCATTTATATGTTCAATTTCTATATGAAAGCATGCTGACATAAATATAAAAAAAAAAAAAAAGCAGTGAAGTTATTCCCAGAAATTGAACTTTTTTTCTTAGGTTAAAAACAATGTTCTTACTTTTCCCATTGAATTCTCTATTTTGTGCTCTTACGCATCAAATTATTTCTCCAACTTTGTGCCTAAAGTTTCAATTGATTTTACTATTAAATTTGTGATTTACTTGGGGGTTAATATATAAAAAAATTGAGGGTGATTTACTAGAAATATTTCAATGGTTTTTAAGTTGTCTGCTTGCTGCCATTTATATGTTTAAATTCTGTATTGATATTAGTTGAAGTTATTATTTGTATTTGATTTTCTTCCAACTATATGTTGCACGGTAATGAACTTACAATAATGAAATTATTTGATTTTTTTAATGAAATTATTTACAGCAACTAAATATTAGTTTAATTTGTTACACATTTCATTCTTATAGGGTGGGTGATATGGCTCGGTTGCCATTAAGGCAAAAGATGAGATTGCAAGCTGTTGTCCTTATTTTGCGCATAAGGATCATGGAAAGCATGTTTAATATGCTTATGTTTCTTGCTATGACATTAGTACTTAGACGAAGAAAGTTTAGGATAACTATGACATCGATCAAACAGCATCTAGACATAATATTAGATCTTTGAATTTACAAAAGATGGTCTTTGAAAGTGATGTGCAATGTGTTGATAATTGTAGAATGGATAGGAGAGCTTTAGCTAAATTATGTGATTTGCTAAGGACTCATGGTAACTTGAAAGATAGTAGGAATGCAACAATCGATGAGATGGTGATTTCTTTTCTTCATATAGTTGCACATAATATAAAGAACAGAGTACTTAAACGTCAAACAGCTAGATCTGGTGAGATTATTAGTAGACAATTTCATGCTGTTTTGAATTCTATTTTGAGACTACACAACATGTTGCTTAGAAAACCAGAACCGATACCAGATAATTCAACCGATGAGAGGTGGAAGTGGTTTAAGGTACTCCTATACTCTTTTAAAAAAAGAGTAAATTTATTATCTAATTATAACTAAATCATTTATTAACAAATGTTTATATTTCGTTGGGATTTAGGGTTGCTTGGGTGCATTAGATGGAACCTTTATAAAAGTGAATGTTGAAACAGTTGACAGACCTAGGTATCGAACCAGAAAAGGTGAAATTGCTACAAATGTCTTAGGTGCTTGCACACCAGATATGCAATTCATCTATGTATTGCCAGGTTGGGAAGGATCTGCAGCAGATGGTAGAATTTTGAGGGATGCTATTAGTAGAAGGAATGGTTTAAAGGTTCCTCAAGGTAATAATTTTTAAAAATATAAATATCATAAGATTTTAATTCGATTTGTTGTTATTGTTTGGTTTTATTTTCACAGTGGTAATGGAAGGGAAAAATACTGCAATAAGAAAAAGGAACTCTACAACTAAGAGACAATGGACAAAACAATAAGATGCAGCACTAGTCGATTGCCTTGTTGAAATAGCAAATGACCCCACGTTAAAGGGAGAAAATGGATTCAAGACGGGATATTTGTTGCGCTTGGAAAAGATGCTACATCTAAGGTGTCCAGGAACAAATATCAAGGCAACCCCCCACATTGAATCTAGGTATAAGCTATTGAGGAAGCATTTCCTTGCCATTCAAGAGATGCTTAACAAAGGTAGTGGATTCGGCTGGAATGATGTTGAGAAATGTGTTACTGTCAGCAAAGATGTCTTTGATGAATGGGTTAAAGTTAAGTGAAATCTAAATCATTTTAATTTGCTTACCTAAAATTGCTTACATTGAGAAATGTGGTACAATTGCTGTTAACTAATTTATCTTTCCTTTTTATTTTATTTTAGAGTCACCCTACTGCAGCTGGTTTAAGAAACAAAGAATTTCCTCACCTTGATAGCTTGATGCATGTTTGGGGAAGTGATTATGCAACAGGAACTGCTGCAGAAACTCCAGCGGATGCAGTGGAGGAAATAGAGAAAGAAAAAGATGATGAAGTTGATCTTACTGATGGTAATCATGAGGAATGGGAGGAGGAAAGAGGAGAAAAAGAAGTTGATCAAACTGAGTCATCTGTTTGCCCATCTACTAAAATCAATCAAGGCAAAAAACAAGCTAGTAACAGGAAAAGGTCTAGAAGTGAAGATGGATTGAATGACTTAGTAGCTGAGATGCATGAGTATGTAGGTGCTTACAAGGAAGCTAATGAGCAAATCAAAGACATAGCAACCTACTTTAAGAAAGAAGCTGAGAACACAGATAGAAAGATGAAGATATTTGAAGAAATCATCAAACTACCTGGATTTTCAAGGCAAGAAGTCATAGAAGATGGTGAGCATATTTTAAAGGATGCACACAAGATTGATACCTTCTTTGCTTTGCCTAATGAGTTCAGGAGGGATTATGTAATGAAGCAGTTGTATGAGGTTAGTCCATACACACCAAGCTTTGACTTTCATGGTGGAAACAATGCATAAGAAGTACGATGAAGGTTGTTTGGGGTTTTTTTGACTCGATGCATGACTTTGATGGTGGCATTGTTATTTTTGGGAATTGGCTACCATTAGAATGTTGATATTATCTAATGTAAATGGTTGGAAGTTAGGCTTGTTTTGTGACTGAAAAACAGGGCTGCCAATTATATTTTTGGTTTAGCATTGGTAGCAATATATGTATAGAAAACATGGGACTATATGAGTCCATCTTTTGAAACTCATCCCTACTATAAAAATGGTATTTAGCTGTTAATGGGAATATGTGTTTTTTGGGTTTAGTGATAGTTTTGTTTTAAACAGGCAATAATAACAATTGCAGATGAGGATGAAAATTACTTAGAGGATGCATGGGAACATATATTCACATGTGCTTCTCGGTTTGAGCATTTGCATCTCATATGGGAGGGTGGTGCTCCAGATGCCATATTATTTGCACTTCCTCAGAATGATATTGACCAGTCGAAACAAGGCAAATCAGTTTTTATATATATATATATATATATATATATATATATATATATATATATATATATATATATATATATATATATATATGATCAGTTTTGCTTTTGCTTAAATTGTAGATTTCTTTCTTTGATTTAATGTACTTGTTGCATGAAGCTTAGCTGTGTTTTTTAATTTTATTTCATATTCTCTTTTCAAAAATTTTAATGCAGTATTTGTGACTTGTGAGAAATGCAAACATTTTTGTCAATTATTTCATCATCAATGCAATTTGAATAAGTTGTTTCTACTCTAGTATCATCAAATCAATTTGGCACATTTTCTTGTTTGTAAGGTAATTTGCAATAGGAGGGTATTATGGTAAATCAACCATTATAACCTAATCAATAATTCATCAACCAAACAGGTTTATATTACATAACCCTGTTTTTATCAAACACAGTAATCTAACATTCACAGCAATCTAACATTCTCTAAGGTAATCTGACATTCCGTGAACCAAACGGCCCCTTAGGCTTTAGACATCTAAAACTACTCAGAGGACTTTCTTTTCCTCTGTTATATGAATTGAAATTTTAAAGAAGTATCATAGTCTCCCACTAATTAAATATAACAATTCATAGTATTTGAGTTATTATTTATACAGAGTAACGCTAATTTTTGGTGTGACTTATCATTCAAGCTTGACTATGTAATCTATTGTATATAAGTCATTTAGTTATTATAAATGGTTAAAATTATAATATATAAGTTGGCTATGCGGGGTCTTGCTAGTAAGAATACAGTTCAAATAAACACAAGCTAACCAAAAAAAAAAAAAAAAATCACTTAAGCAAGCGAGCAATACATACAAAGATAGTGGGCACAAGTGCCAAGCGCACGAGTCGAAAGTCGTGTTTGGCTATGTTGCTCCGAAGTTATAACATTCTTTTGACTTTAGTGTTGTTAAGAAGTACAATCTAACAAAAAAAAAAAAGACACGTGTCACATAAGCAACTGAGCAATACGCACAAATGTAGTGGGTGCAAGACCCAAGTGCACATAGGGCATGCTTGGCTATGTCGTCCCAAAATTATAACATTCCTTTAACTTTTAGCGTTGCCAAAAAAATACAATTAAACAACTCCCACGAAAAGTCAAATTTAAAATGTTATGATTACCAAACTAATTATCTAACAAATACTATACATAATTTTCTAACCAAAAACACAAAGTGCACTAGTATTTCCTTTAGCATTGTTGAGAGTTAATTACATAAATGGTCTATTGACTATAGCGAAATTACCGATTTGATTATTAACTATTTTTACAAATTAAGTTCCTCAACTTTAAAAATCTTAACTAATATGATCCTCCGTTTGTTTTGTCATTAGACATCCGTTAACTCACAATCAAATTGATAATTTTGCTATAGTCAATGAACCATTTCGATAATTAACTTTTGAAAAGAATGGTGCATATGATGACTGAAATAGTCCAATGATTATAATAAAATTACCAATTTGGTCTGAGTGAACGAATGTCTAATGACAAAATAAACAAAAAATCAAATTGATTAAGATTTTTAAAGTTGAGGGACTTAATTGATAAAAAAATAATTAAGAGCTAAATCAATAATTTCGTTATAATCAGGGATGATTTCGTCAATTAACTCTATTTTTGATGTCCCTGTGTTTGTCCCGCCACGTGAATGAGTATTTTCCGTTAAAGATATCACAACTCCGTCGGTCATCGACCGTCTTTGCTCTAGCCTCTAGATTCTTCTTCGGTTACGCCAGCGCATGCGTGTCACGCATCCCCTCATCTTCAATTCTTCAAATCAAATGCCCCGCTTCTGCAAAATTTCAACTTTTCGATTAAATTAGCTGTTCCGGAGATCATTCAAACCTATTCTTTTCAGTCGATCACCCAAAGTCAAGGTAAAGTTATCTTAATTTCCCTAATTTCAACAACCATTTGCTGAATTTTGAACCGGGAAATTAACTTTTTGGGCTCTAGGTATGGGGTGTGAATTTATGTTTTCCCGTGAAATTAAGGTCTCGTTTCTTCTAAACTTGCTATGAGGGTTATAGAACTGGATACGGGATTGATCGTTATTACTAATGAAGTTGAAAGTGATTAACAGTCCACGTTGAGGTAGCATTTATCGGAAATAAGAAGGAATTGCCTCTGAAAATTGTGGTGTCTGAATTGAATTTGTAATGATATTATTGAATTATCAGTTGAAGTGAAAGGTTCGCACCATATTGTGGAAAAAGGGGCAACTTTCCTTGTCACATTGACAATTTTAAAGGGAAAAAATGGTTTGGTGTAGTGATCATATTGTTATATTGTATCAGAACTGACCTAGATGTCTGAAATCCTGAAAGAACTAACACAGCACAGAGTCCATTCCCCACCCCAGGCGAATTATTAGATATTAATGCTGTTGGTGCAAAATTTATTACTAAATTGAAAGGCAATCTAGATCAGTAAAATTATTGTTGATATTACTATACCTTTTTGGGAACAGCAATTTATTTATTTTTCATTTCCATAGCTGTTCTGTTTATGTGTTACTATTTAATTTAATGAAGCAGGCTATGGATCAGCAACAACAAGTGCTTAATTTCTCTGTTACATGGAGAGGCAAGAAGTTCACTCTGGAAATGGAGCCTGGAACTACACTTAAAGCATTGGGTGATGAGTTGCGGAAGCTTACCAATGTTGAGGATGATACCATGCGACTAATTGTGCCCATCAATAAAAGTTCAAAGCTGATATATCCTTTCTCTAAGGAGCACTCCTACTTGAAATTGGACGAGGCATCTATTCTTCAGGTGCTGGGTTTTGTTTCCTACCTTAGTTAATTAATCGTATGAATAATGTCTCTCAAATTTTCTAGTTTATATGAAATGTTGGGGGGAGCATGGTTTGGACTATGCATTATAAATTTATGTTTCTATGTGCCTTGTGGAATTTCTTTTTCTGGGTATTATCGGTTTTCACTTGTCAAATAAGTTTGTGCCTTTTTCATATTTTTTAAATTATAAAAAGACTTCCTTTCCTATAAGCCGGTGCAGTGGTTATATCAACCATGAGTCAGCTTCTCCTTATTCTGTTATTCACACAGTTTAAAATTGTCTGCATTACTTTTCTGTATTTTTTGATTTAATGATTTTATGACTTTTTGAAACTTACATCAGCTGGTAACTTTGTCTGTTTGTAGACATCATATTTTCACAAGTAATTTTCTATTGATTCTGTTGTCTTGCCATAGCATCATATATGAGTTACTTAATAATGCTGTCAAATCTTTTGAACATTAGGATATTATTTCATTAATATATATTTGTGAATATATTTCAAATCCAGATAACTTCTTAAAAGCAAAAGTAAGATTGTATATGTTTTAGTTCATTAGACATTGCATGGTGCTGGCATCTTGAGCACAGGGTCTGACCTTTATTCTTGTTCATGATAGAATAAGTGTCCTTCATTCACAGAAAGCTGCTTTCATCATAGTATAAGTTTCCTTCCCTCAGAAGAATCAATTTCGACTTGTTCATTCATTTCCCTTATTGCACAATGCAGAGTGAGCCTCAGTGAATACACTAAAATGGGCCTTTCAGGGTTGCTTACAATATTGTTATCTGGAAATCCTTTATTTCAGGGAAAATCTCTTAGGATGTTGGGAGTTCCCAGAGATGAGGTGGATGAAGTCCTAGAAAGAGCAAATGAAGACCTCAGAATTGCTGGTTTTGAAGAAGAAGAAAAAAGGCAGAGGCAGAGAATACCTGATAGGCTTGGGACCTCACTAAAACTTCCACAGGGGCCTTATATCTTCTGTGATTTTAGAACACTCCATCTTCCAGGAATAGAGGTATTTCTCAGTCGAATATTAGTTCTATTACCTCCTTTCTTCATTATAATGAACTTGGTGTGCTTGTTTGATTACTGATTTATGAACCTCAATTAATGTCATTGTTCCTTTTCTCCCTTCTTTTCTGATGTGTGCTCATGTATCAAATGAATAGATCATAGATTGTCAGATTGATATGAATGAATTCATGATCATAGAAAACATGGCATTTTACAGTAATTCATACTTCTATACAATTTTGACTACATGCTTTCTCTGCTTATTTAGAATCCCTTAAATCAGCCTTCATTTTTACTCTGATTTCTCAACTTCCTTTCTGAACTTGAGCAAATATTTGAAGGGGACTTTTGAGGTTAAAATCATGTATTGTATTTGTACTTATGACTTATGAGGGTTTCATAGAACTGTCACCATCCAGAAGGAAGGAATAGATGGGCAGCATATTTATAGATAACTGATGATTGACCTAGTCATGACTTGTTTGCAGCTGAACCCTCCCACTTCTGAAGCTCTAAAACTAATGCATAAGCTTGCTGCAGATCCAGGAATTGTTGCAATTATGAATAAGGTAACATTATATGAGATTATTTTTCCGCTTAAATGGCTTTACATAGCTTATAGAATATGCTACATCAGTAGTGGTAAATTATAGTTTTGGGCTTTTAAAGCATCGTTGGCGTGTCGGACTCATGTCAGAGATGGCTCCTGTCGGATATGTAGGGGTGAGCCCAAAATGTCTCCTTGGTTTAAACAAGGTAAGAACATACCTTTACTAGCTTTTGTCCACAAGGTTCTTGTTCTTTTCTTTTTGAAAATATCTTTGTTCTGTTGTGAAAAATCATATATAGAATCAAGGAGAAGAGATATCGTTACGTCTACGCACAGATGACCTTAAGGGTTTCAGGAAGTATCAGAGCATCAAGAAGACTCTCTTGCATGAACTGGTAAGTTCCTCTTTCAATTTAGTTGGCTGTCGACATGTCAAATTCAAAACGAAGCGAAGCAAAACTATTTGTTTGACCTTGCAAGTGCCTGCCTCAATGCATTTCTCTATCCAACCATATAATGAACACAATGTCTAAAAGGAATGTATATGGTTGTATTTTAGTACTTAAGTTCTGTGCAAGGAAATTCTAACTTCAACTTTATATTCCTTTTCAGGCTCACATGATATATTCTGATCATGACGCAAACTTTTATGCTTTGGATAAGCAGGTACTCATCTGCCCATTTATTGATTTGTCTCTTCTTTATGTGTTGGGTAGGGTCTATTGGATTATGAAATCAAACACTTAGGGGTGCTGCTTTCTTTGGGCCATAAATTAGTGTATCCACTTAAACCTTATGCGGATCATTTACTATTTGTCTCTGTTGTGCAACCCCATCAGGGGTTTTAATGACATTTTGCTTACTTTGATGAGAGAGGAGATTTTTGAGTTAAGGTTAAGAGTGGGGGTTTTCCTCCTTTTTCACCAAAAAAAAAAAAAAAAAAAAAAAAAAAAGAGCTGGTTTGGCAGCCACCCTGACCACATGTTCCTGATAAAAGCCCAAAATTGTCAGCAACAATTGTGGTTGCTCTTAGTCAGATAAGATTTTGATGTAAAATCTTTTATTGCAGCTCAATGAAGAAGCTGCTACACTAGATTGGACTAAATCAAGAAGCCACACTTTAAGTGGCTTGCAACATTTGGAAAATAATGAAGATGATGTCTTTGATAATTATGTTTCTTCATCACAAAAACTTGGTGGGAAATCATCGTTTTCCAGTGCTCGTGTCTCTTCAGTGGCTGCTGCCTATCGTCGTTTTGCGGACACATCTGCCAACCACTATAGAGAAACTGAGTTGCATCAGGAACCTGATCCTGATGATCATGAGCTTTTAATTCATCACATGGATGTTGATCAAGAGAATGACCTGACCAATACAAAATTAGACTCTCTGCAGGAATACACTGGGATGCTGGATATTACCGAGTCTTGTGATCAGAACTGCTGTGAACCCGATCCTGATGAGGCAACTTCCATGAAGTCTGAGGCTTCTATAGAATCAAACTCGAAAATTGTCACTGCACATAAAAACTCTGATTATCATGAGACAATAAGTTCTTTACCTCCATTGGAAGCTATGGAACATGAAGAACCTGATCCTGATGATTCTGAAAAAGTTACAGTAAAAACAGATTTCGCTGAAGCAAGGGAAGAGAATCAGATCTGCAGGATCTCTGATTCAGATGAACCTCTACAGAAAAGTGATAGTTTGACAGCACTAGATCTCAATGATAAAGATGCAACTTTAAAAACAATTTCATGCACTCACATTGATGAGCCAGATCCTGATGACCAGGAATTGCGGAGGATACAAGATCCTGTGGTCACTCTTTGCAGCAATTTGCAAAGAACAGTTGAACTGCTGAAAGCTCAAGCTAGTCCCTTGGATGCTGCTAGAGTACTGCAAACTCTGATCAAAATCATCAAGTAAACTATCAAATAACTTCATTTTGTTTCCTTTTACGTATCAAATGAAAAGAAAACGAAAACTGTTCTTGATGAATTCTTAACCCAGGCTTCTGATCCTACTGCTTGCAGGAATGTGATTGAACATCCGGATGAAGTAAAATTCAAAAAGCTAAAAAAGGTGCATAATTTTTGTATGTAAACTAATAATAATGATTGTGTTTTTTTCAGAGATATTTCTTATCCTCTTAAATTAATTATGTGATGTGCAGGCCAATCCTATAATTAAGAGAGATGTATTGAACTATAAAGGTACGCTGTTTACATGGTTTTCTAGATTTGAGTCAACCATCATTCACTGTTTTGCTTTTGTTCCTTGGTTGTGTGTATTTTATCCAAGTTTACATCTTGATCAAAGGTATTCAATGATGGGTCCTATTTTAGTATATTTTCCCAAAGCAGTAGACCTCATTTCGTGAACTCTGCCTTTTTGGTCTCTAACACCATTAATCCATTATTGCCTGCTAGTCAAGATAAAAGTATGAAACTTCATAATTTTATGGGTTTACCCCCGTAAGTTGTGGAATCTTTTGTCTACCAAGACTTATCCTGTCTCATTTTTGCTTTCCCCCGTGGCTGCAGCTGCAATGGATGTCCTAGCTTTGATTGGATTCAGCGAGGACGTTTTGTTTGATGAAACAGGGAGAACAGAGAATTACTTGGTCCTGAAAAGAAACGACCCGGGCCTGCTGTGGCTTGCCAAGTCGTCGCTTGAAACATACATTGCATAGTGGAAACAATTGTACTGTTGTGTGTATTGGACTATACCTTACACACGACAAGAACTAATGAAGTCTGCAATTTGGCGAAATGTGCATTCTATTTGTGCCGTATGTATGTAAATGTAAAAAGTATAAGCAAGCGTGTATCAAGATATTGTTAAAACATGTAATAATTGAGTCATTCAAAAGGTAAAGTTTTCATCTTTTAAAATCTCTTGTCATCTGAATTCCTGCATTTAGTTGATCTAGATTCTTGGAAAGGTTGGGAACTTAACAAACTTTGTTGGACAATTAATTTAGGAGTAAATACCCAAAATGTCCCTTAATTATAGCTAAATTCACAAATTGGTCCTTGACTTTTAATTTCAACAAATTAAGTCCTTAACTTTGCAATTTTGACACGATTTAGTCCTCCATCTATTTGACTGTTTGTTGACCGTGATCTTTGAGGATATATATGTAATTTCACTTGCAAAGCTCAAGCTCACGTGGAGCCCTCCAGGAATAACGTTGCACCGGTTCGGAAACACGTCGCCTTCTTCACTCTGGTACGAACTCAACTACATTGAATCCAAAGAGAGGATGAATAAAGGCGACCGGAGTTTTCTTCACTCTGGTACGAACTCAACTACATTGAATCCAAAGAGAGGATGAATAAAGGCGACCGGAGTTGGTAGATTGCTTTCGACAGTGGATTCAAATGTAACTGTGCGGTCTGAAAATGCAGCCGGAACCTAAAAAAAAACAGACGATGGACCATGAAATTACATATATATCGTCAAAAAATCACAGTCAACAAACGATCAAATAGACAGAGGACTAAATTGTGTTTAAATGGCAAAGTTAAGGACTTAATTGGTTGAAATTGAAAGTCGAGGACCAATTTGTGAATTTAGCTATAGTCGAGGGACCATTTTGGGTATTTCCTCTTAATTTAGTAACCACAAAGTTTAATGTTTGATTTTCTAGGAACTGCCTATTAGCTTTTGGTTTAAGCCATTTAAAAATGTTGTCATCTGAATTCCTAATTCCTAAAGACCGATACTGCATTGTAACAAAGTCAGTAGTACTCAAAAAAAAGATTTTTGGAAAGACCCAAACAAAATTGGTCAGGTAGCACAATAAGTTTAGTAACTACAAGGTTAAGTTTGATTCTTTGTGAACATTGTCTATTAGCGGTTTTAAGTTTGATTCTTTGTGAAAATTGTCTTATTAGCTTTTGGTTTAAGCCAATCAATTATTGGATAATTTAAATTGGTTTACCTTGTAATTTTTTGTTAACTGAGGACGCATTGACTATTTGAGTTGCAACGATTGTGAATTTTTCTGCAAATTATAACTCTTGAAAAGGTAACGTTTGAGTGTAAAAAGAAATAATTCTCTCTTATTTTTAAGCAAAAAAAGTTAATTACACCACAAAATGTTGGTTGGGCTCAATTCTTAGTTTAAATACAATGTATTTTGATAACACTTTTAGATGGTTAATGGTTTATTTCATTGGTCTTGTACTAATTGATCATTAAATTTATATTCTAATTACAAAAGCATAAATACAATTACATTAAACATAATGTTACTTTCCTACCCATTTAAAGAGCTGAGATATGGTTATACATGATATATATATTATCAATATTGATGATGGTAAAATTTACCTTATAATTTCTATATATTGTATGGAGGATAGTTACGTTCCAATTACAAAATAGAAGTAACATATAAAAAAAAAAAAAAAAAAGGCAAATGAGACCTAAGAGTTGTTTTTGGCCATCTTTATTATGAAACATGAATACAATAATTTATTTCATTTCAAATGAACAACTCTTTTTAATAAACTTAATTATTGTAATAAATAAGGAATTAAGAGTAAAGATGAATAATATAATGGCAAATTGAAGCAGATAAATGATTTAGTGTCCTTGAACAAAGACATCCGACGAGAAATCTGACATCTCCTCCCCTCCCGACGAATCATTGTCACCGTCGTCGACGTCCTTGGCGATGATGGGGGCATCTGCAACCTGAGACGCTGATGGCGGTGCTCCCGGTATCGGAATAGCTTCCTGGGCGTTGACCAAGACACTGGTGCAGATGAGAAGTGTGACGATAAAAGTTAAAAGAATTGAAGATGATGATGTTCTGGAGATGCCCATTTTCAATTCGTGGTTAGTTATTGAGCCTGAGAAAAGTATTATATATATATGTGTGTGTGTTTTCTGGGATAATATAAATATATATGTACCCTTCTAGTAGTGGGATATTTATATATAGAGAGGAATTTGCATGGGATTGTTTTAGGGAAGTGAATTTAAAGGGAATGTGAAAGCACCCTGCAGGAAGGATTGTGCGTTCATGGAGGATGCAGAAATGAAATTTTTTGATGAGCTAGTCTTGAGGCGATAGTTTAGGGTTGTGTATGGATATTATTAAGCATTCTTTAATTTGATTTAGGGTCACAAATTAATTAACATGCACCACATATATATGTCTGCTTCACATAAATTCATTATCAAATATGTCAATAATATATATATATCACTATTGAAAATTATGAAATTTTCGACCACCTGAAAGTGATCTTAAATCAAGTCGAAAGCAAAAAGTGGTCGGAAATAACAATAAAGATTTTTTCGAATACCAAAAGTGGTCGGAATAAGGCTTTCGACTTGATTATTTAAGATCATTTTCGGTGATCGGAATGAGAACAACCTCATATAAAAATTGATAACTGACTAATCTAATGGTTAATCAATAGTTGAGGAATTTAATAAAATAAATATTTGGTGAATTTTATGAATATTGTAAATTTAATTACAGTAATTATAAAATTAACCCTGATTTCACCTTTTGTCTCTTTATTTTCCAGCAACAATCAACCATTTATTTACTCAAATGGACGGATCATATTAAATTATCAATTTTACCTAGAGCATGTTCTTACTTGAACCCTCCAATATAAATAACAAGGGATCTGACCACTTTGGGTATAATCCCCTCATTATTGTTGCTATCAAGATTCAAACTTTGATCTCTTCTCAGAATAATATCTACTGAACCAGTAAGTTAAGTCTGTGTGGGCTATACTTATATTTATATTTATTGTTGTTGTTCCCTATATTTATATTTATTTATGAGATAGTTGGGTGAGAGGCAAATTGGGTACTAAGAAGTAAGAATACAACAAAGTCAGTGTTAGTAAATGGGAATAGATCCGATGAGATTCGGTAGTTGCAAACTTTGAGATTGTGTTGCCAACTTTGTTAGTTGCAAGTCAGATTCTCACACACCCTATTCCATGCATCCTATTAATATGCACCAAAATGTCAGTACGGTGTCACATTTGGATATTATTGATTAGGTTTTTAATCTTATCCCACTTCAAACTTGAATACATTTAAAATTATCTGAATACGAATGAATAATAGACAAAAATTAGTATGAGATCGTACCATTTTATAAATCTTTATATGTAAGATAGATCAAATCTAAATAAAAATATATGTAGTATTTAGTATTACATTTGCATATTGATCTAACCTTTCTCACGAATAAAGATTCATTAGACCGTCTCACACAAGTGTGACGATCCATATTATTTATACCGATCATAAATTTATTTGACACATTTCATATGGTCCCTGAGCGTACGCATCCCAAAATTCATTATACACACACAAAAGCAAAATCATATATGTAGGAGTTTTTAGTATTACATGCAGACACAAAAACAAAATTATCTAAGTTGCATCGAGAGTTAAAAATTAAAAATAAAAAACATTTTTGTAATTGCGTAAATATGGAAATGCTTGATAGTGCTTTGTTGAACCAATATAATAGTACACAAATGTGAGTGTATTAATATAGATCCTTATTGCACTGTGATCAGTTTCATAACATGTGACATTAGTCCACACGTTTTCACGTGGTTATTAATTCTCATCGGGTCATATGTGTGTGTGTTCTGGTGAGAACATCTCCCCCGTCAAATGTGTGGACACACACACACCATCTATCTTAAAAAATCAAATACTAAGATCTTATCGTTACTAAACTTTCAAGTTTACAATAATTATAGAAGAATCCCGTTTTAAAAAGTTTTCAATAATTATAAAATTAACCCTGTATTTTTTTTTACTAAAACTTTCAATTAACCATTAATGATCCATGATGGACGGCTGAGATCAGTAATCACTTTTTACAAGAAGACCTTATATGCACACCATCTATCCTGGAATAAATGGTGTACATTCATGTTGGTTCTCACGTTCTTACCTAAGAGGTTGTTCTTATTTTATTCTTATTTAAATGCATATATATATATATATATATATATATATATATATATATATATATATATAGAGAGAGAGAGAGAGAGAGAGAGAGAGAGAGAGAGAGACATACATGCATGCATGTCGTTGAGTTATTACTTATTAGAGGAAGAAATTGGTTGGAGAGATAGGATGATGGGAATTGAGAGTAATAAATAAAAGTGTGTAGCACCTCCATTTTTGGTCATCAAAGGTTACACAAGAATTAATGGCCGACCGGCCGGAAACCTTCTTTCGGTCAGTGGTCGGTCGTATGTATATATTTCACTTGTCATTTCTCATGCCACACGTTAATATTGTGAATGTAATTAGGAATATATATGTGGTTAGTATTGTTTGACTTAATCTGTAACCTATTGTATAGGATAGTCTACGTTACTTGTATTAGGTAACTATCTATTGTAATATTGGATATTGAATCAATAACAAATTCCCTCTCATCAATATTAGCCTTTTTTACTCTGCATATATAATTCCTCTTAAAAATTATATTGTATATATAAATATTGATAGCCATATTATATTTTACAAAAACATTGTGATTTTTGTCTTTCGAACAATGAAATCGTGAACTTTTGTCATGATTTATCTCGTATTTTATGTCTAATTAACATGTAATTTATATAAATTCCAAATTTTCAGGTTTTCTTTTGGCTAATTAAAATTTTGAAATTTTAAATTTAAGTTGGTTTCTACCTTTGTCATGGTTGATGGCAAATGAATTAGCATTGCTCGAAATCGCTAGTTGTTAGTGTTGATTAAATTGTCAAAAAAATTTGATAACTTTTGTAGGTGATCGATATGTATTACCATATACTTTTTTAAATGGTTAGTATTACTAAGGGTGAATCAACGATTTGGTCCCTCAGTTATTTACGACTTG